CCGCGCGCCGCCGGCCCACACAATGGCCGGTTTCGAGCCGCGGGTCGAGTACCTGGAGAGCTTCCGCTGCCCACTCGGGGGCCTGGCGGCGGGCAAGCCCCGCGTGCTGTGCCACGGGGCCGAGATCTTCGTGTCCACCGGGAGCGAGCTCGTCTACGTCTACGACCAGGAGGGGAGGCTGCTGACCGTGAGCCCCGGGCGGGGGCCCCCGGGAAGGAGAATGCGGGCGGGGAGGGGTCGGGCCCCTGGAGCCCCCGGGGGGCGGGGGGACGGGGGACAGACCACCCCGGTCGAGGGGTCGGGGCGAGGAGACTTGAGGGGCGTTCTGGTTCTTTGGGAGGAGCTCGTTTAAAGACTGGGTGCCGTGCTCTGCCTCCCCTCCGTCCTTCACGCGGCTGGCCTGACGCTGTCTTGTCCCCGATGTCCAGGCTGTGTACAGGTTCCCTGGCCAGGTGTGGCACCTGGAGCTCCGGGCCCTCGGCAGGCTGCTCTACGTCCTGTGCGCCCAGAAAGGCATCTACTGCTTGTCGTTGGACCAGGCGAGCAGGTGACGGGGACAGTGGGCAGCAACGCGTGGGGGAGGCTGCCTCGGCCTCCGGGGCACTCCTCATTGGCCCTGGCCACCCCACCCTGTCTCCTCAAACACTGCCCCTGTGCGACCTAGACGCGCAGCGGGGCCTGGATCAGGGTCACAGTGAGCACGCACCAGCCCTCCCCTGGGGGCCCTGGAGGGCTGGTGGGCTCAGGGCCCAGCTGTGAACTCTGGGGTGTCCCCAGCCCCCAGCATGTGCAGCAGGCTCCTGCCCAAGGAGCATCCTTAGTAAATGGGGCTCAGGCTGCAGAGTGTGCAGCCTGCGGCAGGACCCTGTCCCCGCTGGCGTGGCACACCTTTTAGGCGGGTCTCTGCAGTTAGCCGTCACAGCAAAGCACCCTGAACCCTGAGGCAGTCAAGGGGGCCGATATTGAGGAGCTGGGCCCCTCCCGATGCTCCAGGGCAGAGGCTAGACACGGGCCCACGTTCCCTACTGGCTCAGGACTTAAGAAGGTAGGGGGTGGGATTCACAGGCTAGACTTCGGGGGTCTTACAGTTCTGCACTGATGAGGGTTTTCATCCTGAACCCGTTTCTGGAAGCCTGGATACATCCTGCTGTGTGTGTGTGTCCCGGGGTGACTGGTGCTGATGACAGCGGTCTGCGGGCCGATGAGAGGTCAGGTGACAGGCCATCTGCTCCCGGGTGGGCCTTCCCCACACTGCTGAGGGGCCGTAATGGGCACCGAGGTCACTCCCTGGGAAGACCCCAGGCCCAGTGTGCTCAGCGGCGCGTCGCTGGGAAGAGAGCTTATGCATGCTCTGACCCACCGTTGCTTGGTTCTTGAAGGTCTGTGAACCAAGGTGATGGGGATGACAGGGACAGCGAGGACAGTGAGGACGGCGAGCCCCCTTGCGCTGTGATCCCCGTGCACCCAGATGCCTGCCTGCTCCCGGATGACACTCTTTGCGCTTTCACTGTGGTTGATGACATGCTTGTCACCCTGGCACAGGGCCCTGCCCGGTGGAAGGTACAGCTGTCTGAGTGCCCCTGTCCAGGGGAGGGCGCCAGACCCAGAGGCCACATTGGCGAGGTGGAGTTGTCCACCTCCAGCCCCCTGGCTGGGGCCCCCGGGGAGCCCGCAGCCCCCCGCATCCTCCCAGTGCTGTGCTGTGCGTCTCCTCCGGGCAGTAGTGCTCTGCAGACCCGTACGCGGGGCTCCAGGGGCTTCTCGCTGGAACAGGCCCTCTTTGGGCTACTCTTTGGAGTTGATGCCTCCCTTCTAGAATCACCAGTGATCCTCTGTGGTCTCCCCGATGGCCAGCTCTGCTGTGTGGTCTTGAAGACCCTGGTCACCTCAAGGTTGTCCCCAGGCGACCCGAAGGCCCTTGTCAAGATCCTCCATCACCTGGAGGAACCCGTCGTTCTCATTGGGGCCTTGAAGACAGAGTCGTTGCCCGAGGACGCGGAGGACACACACCCTGACTGCCTAGTGGCACTTGGTCACGGTGGCCGGATCCTGGCCATTAAGGCCAGCTGGGACAAGGCAGGGACTCTGGTCCCAGAGCTACAGGAGTACCAGCTGCCGGGGCCTGTGCTCTGTGCGGTCTGTGGCGGGGGGGGCTGTGTGTACCATAGCACCCCCTCGGAGCTCTGTGTCGTGGACCTGGCTCGGGGACGTGCCCCCGAGGGGGGCCCGGGAGGCCTGCCGTCTCTGCTGTGTCCAGCTGGTTTAGGCATCTGCAGCGTCGTCACCCTCTCTGTGTCCTCCGAGGTGCCCGAAGGTACAAGCTGCCATTCAAACCGGAGATGCCCCAGCGTGTCGTGGTGGGGGTGGAACTTTCCGTGGGGCTGTCTTCTCAGCTGTGAACTGGCCCATGCTCGTCTCCCTGCTATGTTCCCGTCTTTTGCAAACCTGACGGGCAGACTTCTCCCCAGCTGCTGTAGGCTGGCACTTGTCTCGGGGTCCGGGGGTGCCTGATGGTGTGTGTCCCATGTGGGTAGGGGCGGGGGCTGCCCCTGGGCAGCGCAGGGCAAGGGCATCTCTCCAAGACAGGTCTTCTGTGGTGGGGAGTCCCGGGAGATTCAGGTGGGTTCCGGCCAAGCCCTGGCGTGTTTCTGAAGGCTAGGGAACGCTTGCCCCGCTTCCCCTGCGGCCTGCCCCCTGGGCCCCTCTGCGCCGGAGCTGCGCGCTGGATGTGGCTTCCCAGGACAGCACCAGGGAAGGTGGTAGCTGTGTTTGCCCGGGGCTGTGGGGCGAGGACAGAGCCACTCTCCCCCGGCACACGTTCTCGAGGAGATGGCCCACGGGGCGGTACTCATCGCGGAGGAAGCGCTCCGAGGGGACAAGGCCAGTGTCTGTGCCGCAGGGAAGGACGGCCGCGAGTATGGCGGTGCCAGGCTGCAGCCCGGCCTGCGCATGCTACGTGCCTCGCTCTTCGGCTGCCCCACCTCGGCCTGGGGCTTGGGGCCTCAGTGGCAGTGGGCATGGGAGACAAGCAGACAGTTGCAGGAGGTGGAGCCCAGGGGAGGGAAGGGGACAGAAGATGCTAGAGAGCCCCCAGGCTACCGGAAAGGCGTGGTGAGTGTAGAGCTCTTCTCTGCAGACCACAGGGGCCCGTTGAAGGTCCAGCTGCACCTGGCTGATTCAGGGGCCCACGTGGGTCCTTGCTTGGCCCCGTTTAGACCCCTTCCCCACATGGCTCTAAGCTGCTCTGTGTGCCAGCGTTCTCCCCCAGGAGGGCCCTTCAGAACGTGTGATGAGATGGACGTGGGCACAGACTCTGCCCGGGCCCTGGTGCGCGTCCGGGGCTCCACAGCTCCGTCTCCGGGACCCGCTCTTTCTCACCTGGGTGCGGGCCTGCCGACGACCTCTGTCCTGTGCCTCCAGCAGCTTGCCCCTCCCCGCCCGTTGACCGGGCCCCATGGGTGTGCATCTTCAGGTGGTGCCAGGCTCCTGGCCCTGTCCGCCAGGGGCCGCCTGATGACCTGCAGCCTGGACCTGCGCTCTGAGGTGCCGTGCCCCACCAGAGCTGCTATGGCTGATACTGGCCAAAAGATTAAGGAATTGCTTTCTGGAATCGGCACCGTCTCTGAGAGGTGAGCAGCTGCGCTGCCGGCGGCTCAGGTAGAGGCCAGTGCTGCGTCCGCGGGGGTGGCGTCCTGGGTGGTGATGTCGGCCCAGGCCTCTGACCCCAGGGACAGCCCCAGATGCCACGTTGCATGGCAGCAGGTGAAAGGGACGTGCCCCGTTTCCTAGACCCCACCCACACCTTTCCCTGCCCGTGCTGGCTCCTCGGCCCTCCCCCAGGGCACCCCACTCCTCAGGAGCCTCTGCCTTCCTGTCTCGGCAAAGGCCCCAGCGGCCTTTTCCTCTGACCCGTTCAGAGAAACGGGGCTCCCCTCAGTCCTCACCTGTCTTTCTGTGCGGCGCGGAGTGACAGTCTGTAGGCCCTGGCGCCCTGTGGTTTAGGGCCGTTTCCGAAGTGCCTGCTGTCCTCTGGGCCGTCACGTGTGGCCGCGGCGGAGCAAAGGGGCCCACTCCGAACACGGCTGGGAAGGCGCAGCCGCCCCTGGGCCCACGTGGCCCTGATGAGGTTGGCGGCGGCCGGGAGCCCGGTAGGCGAGGCCAGGCCTGCTGAGTGTGGGCTCTATCGGCTCCATCCTCTGCCCTCCGTGGTCTTGCTGCCTGAGAGCAGGGGTTGGGTCAGACGGCTGGAGGCCCCTTCGGAAGGGCTGTGGCATGGGCGGGACCGGAGCGCTGCTCCCCGAGGCAGCGGCTTGCCCCTCACGGGGTGTGTGTCAAGGAGCGAGGTTCTGGTGTCTTCCCGTCCTGGGAGGAGGGGACGAGGGGCCCACCACCACGCCTCCTTCCCCTCCCTCGGGTGCCACGTTTGCTCCTTCCAGAGTGTCTTCTCTGAAGAAGGCAGTTGACCAGCGGAACAAGGCCCTGACGTGCCTCAACGAAGCGATGAACGTGAGCTGCGTCCTGCTGGCCGGCCGGGAGGGCGCCAGGCCCATCTCGTGCACCACCACCACCGCCTGGAGCCGCCTGCAGCCGCAGGACGTGCTGACGGCCACCTGCCGGCTGGAGAACAACAGTGGCCTCAGTCTGGACCGGGGCTGGGCCTTGTGCGTGCAGGTGCTGACCACCCCCGCCTCGGACCCAGACGCGGCTGGCTCGGCCACCACCTACACCATCCCCGTGGACCGGCTGGGCCCTGGCGATCGGCGGGAGGTGACGCTGCCCCTGGGCCCTGGGGAGGATGGCGCCCTGGACCTGCCCCTGACCGTGTCCTGCGCACTACACTACAGCCTCAGGGAGGTTGTGGGCGGGGCCCTCGCCCCCTCGGAGTCTTTCACGGACCCCTCTCTGGATGAGTGCCTCTCTGACGTCTTGCCTGAGCAGGACGGCATCTGCCTGCCCCTGAGCGAGCACACTGTGGACATGCTGCAGTGTCTGTGCTTTCCTGGCCTGGCCACACCCCACACGCAGGCCCCCGGGCTGCTCGGCCCCGTGAGCGACTCTGTGGACACCTTCTTGGGATCTCTCGGGCCACGCAGCGAGCCGGCGGGACCTGCTTCCCTGCGGGCCAAGTTCCTGCCCCCATCGGTGGCCACGATCAAGGTGTCCGCAGAGCTTCTGAGGGCCGCCTTGGGGGACAGTCACGCAGGTTGGTGGTGGTGGCTGGCGTCACTGTGGCCCCAGGGCCTGGGGACACGGAGCTCCTCCCTCTTCTAGGCCCCGCCCGAGCTCACGGCGGCACCCCTGTCCAGCAGGCACGTCCCTGGGCTGTGCCACCCTGCAGTGGCTCCTCGCTGAGAACACGGCCCTGGATGTCGTGCGGGCCCGACGGCTGTCCTCGGTCCAGGGAGTGGCCCCAGATGGCACTGACCTGCACCTTACCATCCGAGAGGCAAGCGGGGGTCCGCCCTCCGGGGAGAGGCTTCTCCGAGCGGCATCCCCAAGCCAGCTGTGTCTCTGGGCTGCTTGAGAGGAATCGGGTCGTCGGTCCCCACCTTGCAGAGGTTTCTGACGTGCGCCGTCTGAGGCCCGGCTGTGCTGAACAGCTTTCCCAGGGCTGTGGGGTCCCGATGGGGACCGGCCTGTCCTTCACGTGCGGGCCCCCACCCCGTGCACAGCTGGCACTCGTGGCCCCAGTGTGGGCCGTAGGGGTGGTCCAGGCGTGGGCTGTCCACGGTGGGGTGGGCACAGAGTCACTTGGCCGTAGAGTGAGTGCCGTGGGTCTCGATTCCAAGGGAACAGGACTCCTGGACACACGTTCCCACGGGCCACTGTTGATTGGCTGGCTGGTCTTTCTGATACAAGTTAACGAGGGGTGGGGAGACCCAGGCCTGGGAGTGGGGGGCCCCAGGGCCTCTTGAGGGCAGGTGGAGCTGCCCTTGGGGTGGGGCAGGGCCGTGCGTGGTCGGTGAGGCTCGTCCTGTGTTGCAGGTGACTGTGACCCACCTGTGCACAGCAGGGCCCATGCAGACCGTGGAGATCCAGGTGGAGAGCTCCTCTCTGTCTAGCTTGTGCAGTGCACACCACGCGGTCATCGGGCGGCTGCAGGTATGTGGGCCTGCTGGGGGGGTGGGCAGTGGTGGGAACACGGGACTGTGGGCGGCGGGGCTGCCTGCATGGGGGTCGCAGGACCACGCCTCCTCCTCTGCTCCCACGTGCTGTGCCTGGGAGCTGTGGGCGCCCGGGAGGCGAGTGGGGGAGCTTGGCTGATTTCCCTTCAGTAGCAGATGCTGCCCCCCGGTGTGCTGGCAGCCCCCGCTGGGCTCCCGTGAGCCCCCTGCCGCTAGCTTAGAGGAGGACGGTGCGTGTGTTCCTGCCGCAGTCAGCTCCACGTCCCCGCACTTGCCTGGCCGAGGAACCCCTTGTGCAGAGAGGCCGTGCGCTGGGGCTGCGTGCGCTGGGCGTGGGTCCCGGGCCGAGGGGCCTGCACTCTGAGCCTCCACATCTCTGCCAGGAGAACAAGAGTGGCAGCACCCTCCCAGCGCTGCTGGGGGCCCCACCAGGCGTAGGAGGCAGCAGCTACACTGCCGTCTGGGGGCTGTAACTCCTGGGTCTGAGAGGGTCCCCCGTTCCAGGTGAAGGTCTCCCCTGGTGCCCTTGGCCGGGCAGAGCCCAGGCCCCGGGGCTGGCTGGCCCATCTCCTCCCGCCGCTTCCGACTGTGGCCCTGGTGGCCACAGAGGCCTCTGCAGTGGCAGCCCTCAGCCTCACCTGGGAACTTACCAAGGCACGTTCCCAGGCCCCACCCAGACCCTGAGAATCGGAGAACCTGCAGGCCAAGCTTTTAGGCTTTGACGAGGACCTGGGCGCTGCTGGTTTAGACCCACCGGTGCCCCCAGGCAGGTGGGCTCAGGAGTGTAGTTCCGAGTTCCTCAAGCCATCAGAGGAGGCCCTGCCCCACAGGGACGCCCAGCCCCCAGAGTGCGTGCCGTTCCGTGTGCCCAGAGGGGAGCCTCCTAGACCGAGGTCCCCCTGCTCCCTGCCAGGCTGTCTCCAGACCCTGCCGAGCACGAGCATGGCGGTCAGGAGGTGTGGTTGGTGTGATGCTGGGGGAAGGAGCGTGTTGCCTGGACCCCCGGCAGGAGGGGGAGGTCAGTGTCCTGGTGTTGCCATGACAGCCACAGACGGGGCACAAACAGCAAGAATTCAGTGCTGGAGGCCAAGGCCTCTCTCCACGTCACGCAAACGGCTTCTCCCCACGTTTGCATGTAACTGTTCTCTGTGTCCTGATCGCTTGTTATTAGACTTGCCCCCCCCCCTCCCCGAGCAGGAGCTCGTCCGACCTCGCTCATTTGCAGAGACCTCATGTCCGAGTATAGTCCCTGAGCTGCTGGGGGCAGCACTCCCGGGTGAATTTGGCTCCGAACGGGGGGGCTGCAGATGCTCCCTTGAGGGGCATCCTCACGTGGGCTGCACACCCCAGTCTTTCCTCCATCAGCTGACGCCCTGTTCCCCGTGATGGGAGTGTACCTGAGAACCAGTTTGTATTGTCCTGGCCGCTCAGAGTTCGGGGGACCCTGCCAGATGTGCAGGGCCTACCACAGAGGCCAGTGGGGGCCTTGCTGCCTAATCTTGTCTGGGAGCTAGGATCTGAGCCCCCAGGAGCTGCCTGGGCTTCCCCCGGAACGCGGGACAAGAACCAGCCCCACAGCGGGCTGTGCCGAGGGGATGTGCCAGTGGGGCAGGTTGGGTGGCCCCGTGATGGCCGTAGGCACCAGGCCTGGGACGAAGGATGGGAGATGGGGCGGTGGAAGGTGGCTCTGTGGGGACGAGGGAGGAGGTGGGGGCCAGGAACTTAGGAGAAAGTGACTTCCAAGGCCTCCACTGTCAGGCTGGGGCTGGAGCGGAAGACACAGAGGGGGTGGTACGGTGCTGGAGCCCTGGGCACCGGCTCCAGATGGGGGGGAGCATCCTCTCCAGCCACCTGCCCCTTGTCCGCCCCCGCCCCCAGAGGATGGTTGTGGAGCACGCTGCCCAGAGCTCCAGCCCACCTGACCTCCGTGTGCAGTGTCTCCGCCAGATCCATATCAACCACGAGGTGAGGCCCCTCCAGCTCCCGTCCCCAGGGCCTCCCGCCAGCCTGGCCGGGGAGGACCGTCCCTGGCTGGGATCCTCTGGGAGCACAGGTGTCACCTGGCACAGTGGGGGGCCTGCCCAGTCCTCAGCCCAGAGTCAGGGCAGGGGGCGGGGTGGGTGCGGTTACTTCTGTCTCCGCCTTGCTCCTCTTGCTAGTCCACCTTCACTAGGCCCCTCCTGTCACCTGGGGAGGGGGGCCTGGCTGCACGCCCCCTGCATTCCTAGGTCACCTGCCACATCCCAAGTAGGATTTGTGCATCGTGGGTGTCCCAGCAGGGAGGTGGGGGCTCTGAGCTCTTGCCGCCTGCCCCACCGCAGACACTGCTGCAGGAGGTGCGGGCCCTTCGGGACCGGCTGTGCACGGAGGACGAAGCCAGCTCCTGTGGCACTGCCGAGAGGCTCCTGCAGGTGTACGGGCAGCTCCGGAGCCCCAGCCTCCTCCTGCTGTGACGCCTCGTGGGCCCCGCGCCCGCCCCCGCCACAAGCCAGGCGCCCCCGTGGCTTTACGGAGACAAGCCCAGGGCACCAGAGGCTGCTTCCCGCCGCCTGACCCTGGCTGTGGCTGTGGGGTGGGGGAAGGCAGGTGAGCTGGGCCACTGAACGGGACACGGGGCCTGCGACTGCTCCAGGGCGTGTGTAAAGCGCGTCGATCACAGGCGCCCCGGGGACCGGGCTCTGCCCTTGCGGCCCCGTCCGCCCTGGCCCGAGCCGGCCCACAGCGTTCCCCTTCTTTGGACAGCCGCCCACGGCTCCCGCGGCACCTGGTCGAGCTGGGCAGTCTGGCCTGGAGCACTGGGGCTGGATCAGCGGCCTCCCCTCCCCGCAGAAGTCGGGCCGCGGACAAGGTTTCTGGGGTCGGGACTTGCGGGTTTGCGTCTCTGACTGTTGCTGTTCCCACCGCCCCGCTGCCCGCCCACCCACGCCCACCACGCGCAGACCCCTTCGTCCCCCTCGGGGCCCCTCAGCCCTGCGTCTGTGCTGCTGCTGAGGCCACCAGCTGGGACGCCGCTCCCTGTGGCTCCCACCCTCACCCGGTAGGTGCTCCCAGCCGGGGCTGCGCCCAGCGCCCAGCGCCCAGCACTGTGCATTGTTTCCAGGGCCCCTCACGGTGGGCTGCAGCCCCCCAGCTGCCTCCCTCCGGTGCTGGCGCAGCTAGCAGTGGGGGGCTGACCCCCGTTCGGACTTGACATGGTGCCGTTGTGCGCGTGCGGGAGGCGCGAGGCTCCTCTGCCGCAGAACAAGTGTGCTCTCGGGCCGAGCTGCCTCGGCTTCTGGGTGTGTGTGTGTTTGGGGCGGCAGCTCTGAGCTGCATTTCTGGGCCCCCCCAGGGGTATGCTCGGATGAACCTTGCCTTGGTCTTTCCGTGGTCGTGGGGGCTGGTAGGGGGTCTCCCAGCACTGGGGCGAAGTGCCCACCTGGCCTGCGGGGCACGCGAGTCCCTCGTCCCCAAGGAGGGAGGGGCCAGTGGGGAGTCCGGGTCCGAGTCGGGAGAGTGGGCGGCCGCCACACAGCTTGCACGCTGGAGATTGGGCGGTGGTGGGCACGGCTGCGGGGTGTGGGCCGAGCAGCACTGGAAGCACGTCCCCAGCCCGGGGCTTCACTGCCCCTGGGCCCCACCGTCCCGCTCCCCACACGGGCAGCCTCGCTCCTGCCTCCTGCCGACAGGATAACCCTGGAGAGGTGTGAGCACGGGTCCTCCCGGGGCGGAGACACAGCAGTGGGGAGGGGCGCTCCCCCTGCCTGCTGGCAGGAGGCCGCTGGTGGGGCGGGGTGGGGGCAGGGCAGTCACTGGGGGCCCGCCACCTAGTCTCCAGAAAAGGAGACCCATGACCCGGACACCTAAGCAGCTGAGAGGAGATAAAGTGGAATCTTGTGAAACCTCCGTGAATGAGGGGAGACGGGTGGGGGGTAAGGACAAATGGGACACAGGCCGGAGCTTCCCTGGGAGCCTCGTGCTGGGGTGCCCGGTCAGCGCCCCATCGGGGACGGGACGCCACACTGAGCACCAGGGGTCCCTCAGCCAGCCTCTGCTGCGCGTGGCTCACCATCCCCCACACAGCTCCGGCCCGCCAGAGGATGGCCTCCGCGCAGTCCCAGCCTCTCTCCTCCCACCCCAGCTGGCCCCTCTGGGGACCCCTGGGGCACGCCTCCCTGCCTCCACTCCCCTGCTCAGCAAGGGTCTGAGGCCAAGTGCACCCTCTGGCAGAGGTCAGCAGAGGGGAGTCCTCACACTGATGACTGGCGGCAAGCCCTGGGCGGGTGAGCCCCCAACCCTCCCGCCCTGGGCGCCACTAGGGGGCAGCACAGGCTGTGGCTCAGGCAGCCACCTGTCCCCTCTGCAGCCTCTGGGCTCTGGTGTCTGGTCCTCGAAGGGTTAACTAAGCCCCCCTTGACCAGGGGGCCCACTTGGGTCCAGCTCCTCTGTCCTTAAGGTGGGGGTGGGGGGTGGGCAGTGAGGTCAGGAGCAGGCGCGGCTGAGGAGGGTGCTGGGGAGAGGCTGGGGGGGGGGGGGGGGTCCCTTCCTCCCCACTCTGATTGTGCACATCCGCTCTGCACTCCCTTCCTCGCACGCTCTTCCCAAAGCGCCCCAGTCCCGGCTGGACCACGCTGGCTGGCTGGACTCACTGGAGGCGGTTTTCAGGCCCCAGGCACGGGGAGGGACTTGGGCTTAGGGACCGGGCATCTGGTCTCATCCTCCCTTCAGGCCCTAGGCCACATGGCCGTGTCCTGACCCCTCCCCCAGCCCCCAGGTTCCACGTCTCCCACTCGGCTCTCTGATGGCCTGGGTCACCCAGCCCAGCCAAGAGGCACTGGCCTGGGTGGGGGTCTTTGGGGGCTGGGAGTGCCTGGATGCCAGCTGGTGGACCACAGACCTTATCTTGGCATCCAGCCTGCTTGGGGCAAGGTGGGTGGGGGCTCTCCGGGGTCTGCGGCTGGGGGGGTGAGAGCCACGCGTGGGGTGGGAGTGGGAGACCTGGAGCTTCCTGTCTGGGCTGAGAGGGGCCTTCTCCCCGGGGTTGGCCACTCACACCGTGTTTGGGAGGGGTGGGGTCGCTTTCGCCTCAGGTGCGCGGGGGATTCCCTAAGACCCTGCCCCTGGGGCGGAGAGCCATGGGGGGTACGTCACCCCCAGACCCTGTGAGCGGCTCCCCCCACCCCAGTTCCGCTCGGTCTCCGGGAGCAGCTGTGTGGCGCCCGCACAGGGCGGGGGCGGGGCCCAGGGGGTGCCGGGGTGCCCCTGCCCAGGAAGGGACGGGGTGGGGCGGGGGTGTCCGCCCGCTGGACCCGCCTCCCGGCCACGCTCGCCTGCGCTGGGTGTCCTGCGCTGAGGGATGGGGAGGTGGAGGGCCACGGCCGGGACCCCCAGGGCAGAGGCGCTGGCCCTCCCCGCGCGAGCGGCGCCACGGAGCCCGCCAGCCGCTGCGTCACAGACACGGTTTAATGGGGGGACGGGCGCGCCACCCGCTCAGTACTCCCAGAGCGCGACCCCGGCCGGCGTGTCCGCGTCCGCGCGCAGCAGCCCGGAGGCGCCTCCGCGCAGGTACTTGCCGCTCCCCGCGCGGATGGCCAGGCGTCCGCGCTCGCGGAACTCGAAGAGGAAGTCCTCGGCGCGCTCGCCGTCGCTGCACACGCTGCCGTGGCTGCCGGTG